GAGAGAGAGAGAGAGAGAGAGAGAGATAAATACATGGATAGAGACAGAGTAAGGGTATACAGATAAGACGCAGGTAGGTGCTACAGTACGGACCCCTGGCTGTAAGAATGAGACCACAGGTGGGAGAGACAGCGAGCAGGTGAGGGGAGGAGGGGGCGACGTCGCGAGGTAAGAAGTATTCTCCGTCTCACCGTGACTTGACCATCTTCTTCAGGGTCTCGGGGTTGCGTATTAGGGTGTCCAGCGTGCTGAGGATGGCCGGGAATTTGGGTCGATGGCTCCTATCGTGTTGCCAGCAGTCCAGCATGAGCTGGTAGGTCGCCTCAGGACAATCCTGCAAACATGAACACACATAACACCACTGATCGCAGCTTCACTACCGCCTCAATACCCGACACAAGTAGGTACGTACGACAACATATTAACGAAAATATATAATATAATATGTAATCGTATAGGGCAACAAAACATACTTAAATTATCATAATATATACACGCTACTTAAATATGCACGTAATATACAATTATAAATATAAATAATAATAATACCCACATAAAACATTATATATTACGTAAATACACGAGGTGTATCATATACAAATACATTATATATAACTATGTTATATACAAGTATGTTATATACAAGTACAGTATATTATATTCTTGGCTTTCATCACACATCTCCGTCGATGATTTACTCACCATGGGCGCAGGAAGTCTGTAGCCCTTCTCTATCGCCTTGATCACGTCCTGGTTCGACCAGTTCCAATATGGCCGCTCTCCGTAGGATATTACCTCCCACATGACGATGCCTAGCGACCAGACGTCGCTAGCTGACGTGAACTTCCGGTAGGAGATGGCTTCCGGCGCTGTCCACCTCACGGGAATCTTCCCTCCCTGCAGAGAGAGAATATATATGTTAACCAAGCTGATGCGGGTGAAGTGTCTCTAACACCAACCTTAAATCTAACCTTAATTTTAACCCTAATTCTAACCTTAATTCTTACCCTAACTCTAACCCTAAACTAGCCCTAACTCCTAACCTAAACTCTAAGCTTAAACCTAACCCTAACCCTAACCATAAACTTAACTCTAACCCTAAGGTTCACATGTTGCTAGGTACATGAGTTTACCTTGGTCGTGTAGGTGCCGTCTGAGCGGTTTGTTTCCAGCTCGCGGCTTAAGCCAAAGTCAGCGATCTTACATACGAGGCTGTCACTGACGAGTACGTTCCTCGCTGCCAGGTCCTGTACACAACGTCAACATGGTCAAGCTATGACACTGTCACACATGTTACACTATCACACGGTCACACTGTCACACGTACGTCATACGTGTCACACATGTCAGGCTGTCACTGACGAGTACGTTCCTCGCGGCCAGGTCCTGCACAGATAGTCAACATGGTCAAGCTATGACACTGTCACACATGTCACACTATCACACGGTCACACTGTCACACGTACGTCATACGTGTCACACATGTCAGGCTGTCACTGACGAGCACATTCCTCGTTGCCAGGTCCTACACAGATAGTCAACATGGTCAAGCTATGACACTGTCACACATGTTACACTATCACACGGTCACACTGTCACACGTCATACGTGTCACACATGTCAGGCTGTCACTGACGAGCACATTCCTCGTTGCCAGGTCCTACACAGATAGTCAACATGGTCAAGCTAAGGCACTGTCACACTGTCATGCGTGTCACACGGTCACACTGTCACACGTCATACGTGTCACACATGTCAGGCTGTCACTGACGAGCACATTCCTCGTTGCCAGGTCCTACACAGATAGTCAACATGGTCAAGCTAAGGCACTGTCACACTGTCATGCGTGTCACACGGTCACAC